CCCAGGCTTCTTGCCTCCTGTGAGAAGAGTCACGATCCGTCCAGCCTGTGAGTGATACGTCTCTCTTCTTCTGGCAGCTGCAGAAGTTAAAAGCAGTGATTTGAGGAGGGGTGATAGCTCCTGCTGGATCGGCCTCCCCCAGTATAGCACACATCTCTTCTTCCAGCCTGTAGCACGTAGCTCGTTACGGTTCTGTGCAGAATGATTTCTCTGCATGGCCAGGTGATGTTTAAGGAGACTAATGAGAGAAATGATACGGCCCAGAACACTGGTGTCAGGAAATATATTGCAAGGTGTCTATCTTGGGGAAGCTGAAAGCAGGGCTTGTCTTATTATATATTTCAGAGGGGATGTCTGTGTCACCACGAAGTTAGACATGCACCCTGTCCTGTACTGCATTCAAATTAGGGTTTTTTTTTTTTGAATAGTAGCTTTCCATTCAATTTTCATTGGCTTAACGATAGGCTCCATGTTGTACAGGGACAAAACAAGAGTCGGTCACATTGGCACACCATTCTTTTGAAGCAGGAACTTGTTTCTGAGGCCATTGTAACATAACTATGCTAGTGTCAGAGGACAGGAGGAAGGTTATTATGGGCTTCTGCTTTCTGTGAGGAAAATCAAACAAATGTCCTCAATGGAAAAAGGAAGCCAGCAGCTGTATGTGATGACCAGAGAATGTTTTTGTGCAGTGACATTGTCAGTACCTGGTCTGTTTTCAAACTGAAAAAAAATGCCTTTTTTTATCTTTTTTTCTCCTGCTGTCAACTGAAGTGGAGAAACTCCCCCCGTGAATTTTCATGAGATACCTTTTCCTCATTTCTAGCACTTAACAATCCAATTATATTTGGTTTTATGCTCGTGTTTGCCTCTATTGCCATTGTTAGGTTTTTGAGTCAGAGAGATTTTTCCATCCTGATGGTGCGGAAGAAAAATATGTTTCATTATGACTGGTTATAACCCTGCAAATCTTTTTTCTCGCTTGGGTTGATGACTATTTTTTTATGTTGCATTTTGTACTGATGCCTAAAGTGAAGTAGAATGAACCACAAGAAAGAGAAGCTTTACTAAAATATAGCTCCTTCCACTGTGTAGAATTATCTTGAAAAAAAACTTGAATCTTTCTAAATCTATGCTTTTTTCCCCCCAATATTATTCAAGTAGTATTTACAAATGAATGTTGCTTTTGTAGGGATTGTTTATGAAGCCATTGCTCTTAGCATTCCCTGCTTACCTGTGAACAAATCACATGGCACAGATAAGGTATCTTGTTGTTTCCCAATAGGGTGACCTTATAAACAGATTCTGCAACAAGACAAGCTTTTAAATTCCTAACCAAATATATTATGTGAGTAATAAGAAGAGCTCCTCAAAATGGCCACAGAGGCATTTCAGAGCACATTTGTGGGAATATTCACTTGTGCTAGCATTCATTAAGTTTGCTTTCAGCAAAAATTCTCATGAATGAAGTTTTATTCACTAGTCATTACAATTATTACTATGCTACCACGGCAATAACCAGATGCTTTATATAAGGCCGGGACCTGATTTTGTTTAAGGCTGGAGAAACATATTAGAGGGTCTCCAGAGAGTCTGTTGTCTAAATATAAGACCAGTCTCAGCTAACAGCTCATGACTGGGAGCTGCAAACCCTCAGAGAGCAGTGGGTTTGTTTACAAGGAAATTCACAGCTAGAGAAAGATGAATGCAGAACCATACCAAATGTTATACCACTCAAACTCTGGTGTGTTACAGTGTCACAACTCCTCTGAATATGAAAGTCATACATTACACATTTTTATGTTATCAAGGTAGTTTAGGTGATAATGGCAAGTCATACAGGTAGAAGGGAGTAGCTCTACAGATGCAGTTCATTACCATACTGGACCAGTTTATCCACTCACTAATGAGCACACTGGAACTGGACTGTTTCAGGGGTTTAAATTTTGAAAATGGCCTAACCCAAATATGTGTACCAGGAAAATACCTGAAGGATAGGCTATGCCAAAGAGTTGGATTCTGAGTTGTGCAATACAGGGACTCCTGGAATGTGAATAAAGCCCTTCCTGGAAAAGTTAAATGTGATTTCTAGCTATGCACAGCTGAAGTGTGCGTGAAGCCTTCTCTTCTCCTGTCTAGAGGAACATTAAAGAGCAGAGGTATCCTCTTGTGCTGGAGGAGGATAACTGTGGCAGGGCAGTTTCAGCTTTTGGCTGGCTGTATTAAAAATGAGAGATCAAGGAATCATGGCCAATTTGAATGCGGATATTGTGCCCAAGTCTAGGCACAAGGAAGTGTTTTCAGAGCTGAAGCTCATTTGCTGAGCACGACGTGTCCAGTGTTGCTTTGTGTGCTTTCCCTTGCTGGGGAGAAGCATGTACCCTGTGCCTTGGAGGTGGTGCAGTTTGGCTGGCCGATTTGTGGAGTCACTCAGTGTGCAGTGAGTGGCACTGGCTACTCTCTGGAGAATTGATTCTTGGGTGTACCAGGGTGCAAGATACACCAAGGTCATGGGTACAAGTTGCATAATATATCTGTGGAAAATGAAGCAGTTCTGTGGGGTGGAGGGAAGGAGCTGTTAAAGAGGCAGTGTGCCAATCGCGTGCATTACTCAAACCTCAAAATAACCATTCCTCTCTCCCTGTAGATCAGTCAGAACAGTTTGTTGGCAGCAGAGCTAAGTACAGGACACTAAGTATTTCTCCTCTTCTGTTGTCTCACTGCTCTCTTTTCCCATATTGTATGAAAAAACAAAAAAAAACAAAAAAAAACTTATTAGTCCTTCCTTGCAATTACCTTGTCTCCCTGTCCTTTCCTCTGGCTTTTCCTTGTTCTGCTTCATCACTCAATCATTCAAATGATTTCTTCTTAACAGATAAATGCAGTTTTACTGCATTTTTTTCTTCTCTTGGGGAAAGACTTGGTCCCTTCTTTTGTCCATCCCACAGCACAAGTTGTCATGTTCTGGCACTGCAGTCACTCCTAAGTCCTTGAGCTATCATGTATTCTGTTTGTGTTTGAGGAATTGAAAATCAATCACGTAGCCTTATGGCTTAGGTTCAGCACAATTCTATTATGCCCACTCCCAAAAGTCAATTCAAACCTTTTGGGTTATATTTCAAAGCCTAATCAAGCTTGCTGTCCAGAGTGGTTTAGAGTCAACTCACTCTTGTCCATAGGTCTGTTTATTAGAGTTTTTCTGTCAGAAACAGGCGTGGAAAAAAGCAGTTTTCATAGCAGTAGAATCATTCAGTGGGCATTTTTCAAAGACAAGCCACTCAAACAGGTTTTATGGTAGAGGAATTCTTACTGTTGTAATGAATTTCTGCAAACATGTTTAAATTGTTTGGGGTTTTTTTGTTTGTTTGGTTGGTTTTTTTTAATGCTATGTTGGTACAGGTGTTCACAACTCTCCTTTCTCATAAAGAGATGCAACAGTTTACTGGCATCAGTTTCTAGTCCTGTCTTGATAAGATGGCACAAAAATTATTGCAGGTGCAGCTATAAACCTAGGTGTTGACTTTCATGCTTTGGACCATGTCAACAAATAATGATGGCACCTGCAAGCAGATGGGCCAAATCCTACAAGCATCATTTGTGCCACCTTCACTGGGCAGGTGCACTCACGTGAGACCGTGCATTGATTATATCAGTCCTCTTATGTTCAGCAAGGGCCGAAAACTCATCCTGAGGATGAAAGAAGCTCTGTAGGGAGCCAGCCATTAGCAATCCTCTGTGAAAATATCTATCTGTTGAATACTGGAGGCAGACCAGTCTCATCCCACTGAGAAGAAAGCAGTGACTGGCTCATAGTGCTGGCATTTCCAGCTGGTTTCTAGAAGTCTCCTTGTTCAGGGAAAGGCTGGTAGCCATTCTGTGGGAGCCAGGTGGGCAGTATAAATAGGAAACAGCTCTCTCCTCCCGTCTCCTGGGGGTAAAGGCATTGCTCTGTGACCCATTCTTTGTGCCTCTTCTCGTCCTGTATTCTGCAGAGGCGCAGAGATTTTCTTCAGTGGATGCTGGACTCCTGTGGCTCAGCTGAGTCCCTGGCAGCTGGGCGTCCCGAGGCGCTGGGTCCCTCTGCTGCTGCCAGCACCCCGGCTGAAAAGTGTCAGCAGACGCTGACAGAGGATGAGATAGCAGGCCAAGCTTTTCTCTTCCTGATCGCTGGGTATGAGACCACCACAAGCACACTGTCCTTTGCCACATACTTGCTAGCCACCAACCCAGAGTGCCAGGAGAAGGTGCTTCAGGAGGTTGATGAGTTCTCAGGAAAACACGTGAGTACTACTTGCTGGTGTGGAGATTCTTGCAGAGAGCAAGGCGATGCGAATGTCATCATGCAACTGTGGCACCTGCATGAGCCCTGTTTGTCTCCATTATTTATGCATATATTAACTTTTTATTAAGATTTCCAGTAAAAAAATTAAAATTAATCTATATTGTTTAGGGGTTTTGAAAACTGTTAAACAATGTCACTTTACAGCAACTGAAGAGATGTTCCAGAAACTTTGCGTCATAGTGAAAGCTTAATCTTTACAAAATATTTTAGATTATTGAAATAAACCAGCTGTGGACAGACTCTAAAACTACACATTTCTATTTTTTTTTTTTTTTCCTCTTGTCCAGATACTTTTATTGGGTTTTTGTCAATTTGATTTACTGATCTTTGTAAGGACATTAGCAGCATTCTTACAAACCATAAACTGCAAAGTTTTGGTTTAAATGTTCATACTTCTTTTTTTTTTTTAATTCAGCAGCAGAATATATGTGTATGCTTAAAAAAAAAGATCACGATATCTAATTCTCTTATACTTTGTTCAGATTAACTTCTCCTTCACTGCCTGTATTTACCAAGGGCATTTATGTTTCCTGGATAACTGTTGAGAATATTTTGTATTTCTGTCACACCACTCATCAGCCATTCTTCCAACCCTACACTGTCTGCCCAGGTTAGTTATGAGAATTCATACTGAGGGTCTTTTGATTTTCATGAGTGTTTCTATAATCGATGATGAGAACAAAAAAAGAATTCAATAATTTTCTGCTTTGCTGGTAATAAAAAATTCTCAACTATGCAAAGTGTGCCTTTCAAAAGCTACCACTGCCCTCTTTTTGGTTGTGCCAGGATTTGTGTACACAGAAAATGTCTTCTTTTGTCTTGCATGATGAGATTCTGAGTGTGGTGGTTCTGCCTCTAAGGCTGCTTTTGCTCTGAGGGTGCAGCTGGATGACAGAAGTGGAAGTGAGGACTGCACAGTCTGATCCACAGAGCATTTTCTTGGTGCACGCTTCATACCTATGGTGTTAGTTAACTCAGTACAGTGAAACTGTTGATGTATTATATTCTAACCTATAGGGCTTGGGTTATATTATCAGGTTATTAGCTCTACAACATTCCAGCTAGAGTGTTTTGACTTGTTTCATTCAAATGCAGCAGACCTAATTATGCTCTGGTGTGCAGTGAGGTCAGCTGACTTCCTGACAGCCTACAAAGATCTGTAGGTGCAACTTGGCCTGGAGTATGTGCAGTTTACTCAATAATACTGGTGGCAGAGTTGCACATGGAAACCCATAGGAAACAGCCCCAAGGTTTATCTCCTCACCAGTTCCTGAAAACTGATGGCCTAAGAAACCAAAGTGAAATTGCTGGGAGAGGAATCCGATATGTTTGGTGCACAATGTCCTTCATATCTCTGTAGATGGGGATAGGAATTGGTAACTTTTCCATCTTAAGTGGAAAGCTGGCTGGCAGCAGTCACTAACTGGCCAATTGCTTACAGATTTCTCACGTAGGGAGACCATGTTTATGGCTATGTCTATGTTAACAAGCAGTGTGCTCCCATAGAGAGATTCGTCATCTAGCTCAAGTGGTAGTGAAGATTGTTGGGTACACACTGTACACACCTCAGGAGTTTATTTTGGGTTAGTTTGAGTCTGACCATGTGTACTAAATTCCTCTCAGCAGTGGGACTGTTCTTCTGGTTTAGTTCCTGTTAAGAGAGACCTTGCTATGCTTTTGGAGACTGCAGTGTGAAACAATGCAAGAGACTTGCATGTGAGCAGACTCCTAATCCAAGGTAGAGAGTTAAATGGACCCTGTGTTGTATGTGGTCTGAGTTTTCACTCACTGTTAATAATATTTCAACAACAGTATAATTTGAACTTGTAACACTTCACTCTTTTGGTTCTCTAACAGGAATATTTTGCTAATAATTTCAGCTTTTGCGGTATCTAGTAGAGGTTGTGGAACTAGGGACACTTGTGGCAGAGAAGTTAAAACAATGTAGAGAGATGGCACAAATTAAATTAATGGTTTTTGCAGGTCAGCACTGTACACAGTCTGTGTGATGCCTCAACCCAGACTGGTAGCCTCAGCTCAAACCATGCTGTCCCATGGCATATACTGACTGGCAGTTCCTTCCAGATCACTTCCCCATACTTTACTAGTCTCTAGGTTTAGCTTTGTATGATGCATATATGGCTGTATGGCCAAAGAGAAGAAGGAGAGAAGTATGACTATTCATCTGCTGTCTTTGCTGCCAGGGGATCCATAGACCTGTCTGTGCAGCCCCATGCTTCAAAAGATTTCCTATTACAAACAGTTCATGATTGGAGGTGGAGCAATGCTCTGCTCAGGAAGTCCATCCCAGAATAAAGGAAAGGGTGCAGCAGTTCAATCCTTTTAGTCACTGTAAGTACTTTTAGCCTAGAAAATAAGATCTGTGTGAATGGTTTGCAAGTTACAGGAAAAGCTATTTTAAAACTGGGAATATATACATGCCATATTCAGTTGTCATGCAAGGGAGAGGAAGGGAGGGGGCATAGCAGCTACAGGCTCACTGTTAGTTTTAAAGTCAGTTGTTTAGAAATTTGGTTAGGTTGTTGCTTGTGCTTAGCCCATCAGCTTCGCTCTTATCAAGGTGTTTTGCATTTTTTGGAAAGGATGGGCTTTAGAATGCCAAAACATGGAGAATGGTAGAGTAAGGTTGTTTTGCCAGGTGGTGGAAGACTGCTTTGATTTACAGATATGCAAGTGTTAAATACACTTCAGCCACATTTGCACTCAGGTAATTATAACTACAAAATGTTGTCCACCACGTCCCCCTTCCTTCCTCCAGCCATTTCAGTTGCCTCACGCAGCATGTTTTATTGCCCTAATCTGTGGTGTGGAGCTGTGTCTGATTTTACAGCAGCTGCTGTGCATCATCACAGAGATGGCTGTACTTTGGTGGTGGACAGAGTGATTTCTACACTCATTTACTAAAGTTTATACAGACATGTGAGAGCCATCTGAGAAAAGGAGCTATAAATGACAGGTGCAGTTCCAGGTTTTTTGGCACACCAGTCAAAAACTCAAAGCACAGTGACCTTGTGATCGTAAGGAGAGCCAGGTCAGTCCATTTGGGCATACAGCAGTATTTTGGTGGCTCTGGACATTGTACTTAAGGATATCCCTGAGTTTGCTCTGATATTCATCTGTCTTGCTTGTGCAAAGGGTGCCATAGCAGAATGGAACAGCATGATAGGGAAAGCGAAAGCCAAGTCACTGCTGTGTTGGAGAACCCTCTGCTAGCTTGGTGTAAGCTGCTGTGGTGTGATGCAGAAATATGAGGTTAGGTGCTGAAAGTGGTCCCAGTGCTGTGCTGGGAGTTGGGAGCTCAGAGAAGAAGCATGTTGGACTCACAGCATTGTATTGCTGTGTTTTGTCTGGCCAAGTTTGCCTCAGAGCTGTCTTGCGAGAGACCTCTCCACCACACTGCCTGAACTGTAGAGATGGCACTTAGGCAAGCATCCTCAGAAAACAGTACCTAGAGTGAGTCATGGATTGTCACCTCTTTTTTCACCTCCAGGAACTTCCTCATCTGTTCACTAAAATATTTTTTAGGTCTTCCCTTGGCTGGTAGCTCAGTGTGGATGGAGGCTTGATGATGTCTTTTTCCCTGAAAGTGAGAAGATGAGCCTGGTCCACTTCAGAGTCTGTCAAGGAGGAGAAACCTCTGTCCTCAGTTATCATAGAGGGCAGAGCATACAGGTTATTGTCCTTCTCACCACTGTCTGGATATTCGGTGTCTGGGAAGGGAGTGCACAGCTTTGCCTTGTCTCTGAAGAAGCAGAGAGAGAGAGGGTACTAAGTGGTGGCTACTGTCACCACCAACTGGATCTTCCCATTCTACTCCTCAATCCCTGTGACTGCTCCAACGGCACTGGGAAAAACAAGTTTGAGCATAATTCCTCTAACAGGTGAACTGAAATTAAAATTGTAGATACTATGACCTGGCCCTCCTCATGAATCCCTTGAGGGTATAGTATGTGTGGTGTAAAGAGCCACCAACTGAAAATAAGATGCACCTATTTGCTGCAAGCTTGTTGCTGGGTGTGCAGCTTGTTTTGATACCGTGAAGACAAAATAAACAAGATGACAAGAGAGTTAAATATGAGCTGGTGGGGGCAGGATACCTACATCTGTGTGTGTATAAAAGAATATTACTTTCTGCAGAGACCACAGATCGTTTCCAGGACAGCAGAGGGGGGTCAGATCTTCAGGTTAACTGGTACAACATGTTTAATATTATTACAGGTATGATTATATGAGTCAGCTGAGAAGCTAGCCTGGTATATACCAGTAAAAGAGGACAGGGGGGAAAAGAAATTGCTATTTCAAGACCAGATTATTTTTACAGTGTTTGTGGTTAACCATCCCTAAACTTTTAGAGGTTATGCTGTTGTGAAAGAAATGTTTTTGTCCACATTAACCAAATGAGAGGGACTACACCCATGGTTTTCACCCTCTCTGTTTCAGTCAAAAACGATCCCGGTGCGGATTTGTTAAAGAACACTTCAGAAGACATGTATTTGTGAACAGTTTTTGCATGTGTGGCTGATTGTTTTGTTGTGAAAGCAAGTTGGTTTTTATTTATTTGTGTGTGTGTGCACTTAGCAAAAGCGTAGCAAGCCTGCAGCATGCACTTGTTCTGAGCAGAGAGATGCTTGCTTTTGAGCCCCACTGCACTCTGAACTGCTCTGTATGTTTTGTCCTAAGCCACAGTGTTTAGGACCTGAAAGACTGCTGCATCTTCCATGCTGGGGATTCCCTTAACATGAACTCAATCTTTCTTGCCTCTCTTCTGATTTTAGCTCTCTTTTTTACCTCTTCCCATTTTAGCATTTAAATGTCTATCTGTCTCCCTCCTTTCTCCCTCCTCTCAAGCCTGAGTCATTCACAATTTTATATATATATTTTTTTTTATTTTATTTTACTTTTTTTCTTTACTGGACT